GAAAGGACAGTGGTGAGAGATAGGGAGGGAAGGAGTATCTCTCACCAAGAAAAATTACCTCCAACATGAGTTAAAGCCTGGATAGCATATGGAGTACACAAACACACTGAGAGGGAAAATAAGTCTTGGGGAAAAGTTCAGAAAGTTGATTACAAAATGCCAGTGTGTGAGGATGGGCTGGAAGCTGATGAGCAATGGGCTCTGGGAAGTGATGTCTTGCTGTACACAGGAAAGGAATGATGGTGGTGCTGAACAGGTAGAGCTATGCTGTGGCTTACTGGGATGTGTAATATGACTGCAAAACAGGAGGTATTTTAGGACTAGAAAGAGGTAAAAGTGTGTTGGTGTAGACAGGAGTACATAGCAAAGGGAGGAGATGTCACAGTATCTAAACTCATTATCACTGCATAGTGGCAGAAAAGTGAGACCCACAGAGCCATATTAGGGACTGCACTGGAGCCACAACAAAAAGGCACCAAGGATATTTGGAAGAGCAGGGTTGTAAAAGCTGCCAAGTCATTCTGCAGCCACTCAGTCCTATGAGGAGGGATGCTCTGGAACAGCCTTCATCAGAGCAGAGAGAAGCAGATGTACTTTTGAAACGGGAGAGTTTCACAATTGTCTGGTCAGTCTTAGCAATGAGTGATTAGCTCCTCCAAGCACCTTGTCCATGGAAATCACATACAGAAAGACCTAGAGGAAACCTTCCCGACAGATACTGAAGGGCTGTCTGGCGGAACTGGCTTGGCCAAACTCAGAGGTGCCCTGGGTTCTGCATCTTGGCTCTGGGACCAAACTGACATCACCTCCCCAATATCCCTGTATCCCACAGCCACAAGCCAAGTCCCTTCCAACAGACCTGCCAGAGGGAGGAAATGTTCCTAATCCCAGTGCTGGCAAAACATTTCTTCCATCATTTCTAGTTTCTAAGCACAACAATTTTGTGTTTTTAAGGTGCAGCCACTCTGAAAGATTTATCTTCCAGAGCCCCTCAACAGTCTTTCTCCCTAAATGTCTGGTGTCCACACTTCAACAGAAGTTGCCTGGCTCTGCTCTGCATGCACTTTGTTGAGTAAGAGAGCTTAACTGAACCAGCTATCTTTCCCTGTGTCATTAATAGCTCTGCAGAGAAAATTACAATTGTGGGCTAGGGAACATACTCGTTCCACTTTAATTTTCCACGCTTGACACCTTTTCACTTTCAGAACCTTGTTCAAGCAAGGAAGATGAAAATAGAGGCAGGAGAGACTCTTTCAATCATATCTCATCACCCATTCTTATGCACACAGCTTCTTCCAACTGCTCCAAGGAATACATTCAGAACAAACCCAGCCTGTGGCATCTCCACTGTCTCCCCTTAAGACTCTTACTTTATGGTCTTGCTGGAGATTGTTTCCAGGAGTAATTTTAAAGATTTCTTTGTGAAGCCTCTCCCACTGCTACCCCTGAGAATCCCAAACCTCACCTCAACTTCTTGCATACAACACTTAAGAGAATGATCACCTCCCATGCATCGCTACAGGCTTGGGGAGGTGTGGTGGGAGAGCTGCCTGGAAGAGAAGGATCTGGGGGCTCTAACTGACAAGCAGCTGAACATGAACCAGCAGTGTGCCCAGGTGATCAAGAAAGCCAACGGCATCCTGGCTTGTGTTAGAAATAGTGTGACCAGCAGGAGTAGGGAGGTGATAGTCCCCCTGTGCTCTGCACTCGTGAGGCCACACCTGGAGTATTGTGCCCCGTTTTGGGCACCTCAATACGAGAGAGATATCGAGGTGCTGGAGCGAGTGCAGAGGAGGGCAATGAAGTTGGTGAAGGGCCTGGAGAACAGATCCTGTGAGGAGAGATTGAAGGAGCTGTTTAGTTTGAGGAGGAGAAGGCTAAGGGGAGATCTCATCACTCTCTACAACTACCTGAAAGGACATTGTAGAGAGATTGGTGCTGGTCTCTTCTCACAATTAGCGATAAAACAAGAGGGAACAGCTTTAAACTTGCAACAGGGGAGGTTCAGACTGGACATTAGGAAAAAATTTTTCACAGAAAGAGTGGTCAGACAGTGGAATAGGCTGCCCAGGGAGGTGGTGGAGTTACCATCCCTGGAGGTGTTTAAGGGTCTTTTGGATGTGATATTGGGGGATATGGTGTAAGGGAGAACTTTGTAGAGTAGGGCTGATGGTTGGACTCAATGATCCCAAGGGTCTTTTCCAACCTGAATAATTCTGTGATTCTGTGATCACTTAGCCAAACCACTGTGTAGAAAGGCAGCATCTGCTCACTACTGATTATTTTTATCCCAATGATCCCTGATAGGTACACAGATTCCCCCTAGACTTAAAACAGGGTTTGACAGGGCAACCCACTAGTAAGCACATATGATGCTTCTCCTTCTACGTCTGATCAGCACATATGCCATTTGCCTTCAAATCAGTCCATTAGCTCATGCAGCAGAGCTACATGCTCCAGCTCCCAGTCTCCAGCCATGATGCCATACTGGAATGGAAGACCCCCCATCAGCAGTGTCACACAAGTCTGTATAGTGACAACAGAGCCATGTTGAACTACTGTAAACCTACCTCACAAGCCCTCTGACTTTGCTCAAAGATCAGTCCCATTGGCATGGTCTCCATTTATGGCAGCTTTCCCACAAAACCACTCCATTTGTCAAACAGCCACGCCTCTGGTGAGACTCTTAGGTCACATCAGAAAACAGACTATTTCTAATTGTCTGAAGATACAATGCTTCTATACACAAAATGAGCTTTTTTTGATCTTCATGACCTTTTGCAATCTCTTGCCTAATCTGTCATCTTGTCACATTCCTCCCCAAGTATCTCTGTATTTCCAGTTCTGAATTTCTCCCATTTGTTCTGCACTGATCCAAACTGTATGTAATTACTTCTTGCCTGCACTTGAGATTCATCTGAGCCTGCTCTTGTGCCTGATGGGGGAACTGGAAGCCTTACCACTGAATTCGAGAGCAGCAGAGTTAGGCCTATGTGTCCTGGGAAGGTTCCCTCACTGTCATTTTCTCTTCTATTTCAATTCATCTGCAAGTTCCCAGGTGTGATGCTGTCCCCAAGGGGGAAGGTTTCAGGACCCCTCTTTGCACTCTCCTTTGCCTTGACTTTTCACCTTGCCCTTCTGCCATCTATATTTCAGCTAAGTATATCATTATCTAAAATGTACTGACGATGTAGCTACGCTGGAATTAAATTTGTTCTTGAAGTAACCCTATTAAATCCTCTGGGATCCAGCAAAGAACACTTTGGTGCATTAGGTTCCCCAAATCCTTTTTTTAAATACCTTGATTTGGTACCTTGTAACTAATGGACACAGGCATTTACCTCGGCTTTTAATACTTCCCAGTTTTACCAGCTCCTTTATTTTTATATGTCATTCTCTTTATTTCTCTCTTTCATAGCGTTTCCTTTCTGTCTATTTCTTGTCATTTCTATCTTTTTTTCCTCCCTCCCTCTGTCTCTTCAAAATTAAATACTGCCCAGAACTGCCCATGTGGGTGAAGTGAATACTAAGAGGGAAGGCTGCTGCGGAGACTGGATTCGAGCTGCCTCACTGGGAATCAATGATGCATGGAGGGTTCATCTAGCTCCCAAAAAGCTGAAAGAAACCAAGGCGTATCAGTGGCAGCTGAACACACCCTTGAGACAAAAGAAAACTGCCCACCTCCAAGCACCTGCCTCATCCTCTGAGAGATGCCACACAAACTGAGCCAGAGGTGGCTGCTGTGGTAATTTAATGGGGGCTAACCTTGGGGTGGCTTTCTGCAGCTCCTGGGGAAGGGAGACTGCCAGATGGAGGCCCACGGAGCAGCAGGGGTCTGCAGGGAGCAGACAGCCTGCCCTTCTCCGTCTATCCACTGAGCTATGAAACACAGCTGGTACCAGCCATGCTACAAGGGTGCGGTGCCATTAAACTGCAGGGAAACAGTAATTGTCATTCCTGACTAGACAATACCTAGACCCTTAAACCATACACAGGCAGACCCACCCCATCCAAATCTGCCCATAATATACCCACTAGGTACAAATACTTCACTTACCCCCTCATGTTCCCTGCCATACCTCCTTACCACACAGCCAGACAGCCCAGAACAGCTCCACAAACCTCTATATAAGAGCAACAGCAGATATCCACACTTCTTCCCTTCTTCAACCTCATGTCTTCCTCCCCATCACATGCACCCTCTCTACCACTGCCTTTGCACACTGTTGCCTCCTGCCTCCCTCTCACCATGTCAGTTGTGATCCTTGAAATGTCTCTCCTCAACCTGGGCTGGAGTGTAAGGAGACATCTTCTTGTAAGGGGCAAGATGCAGAGTAGCAGAACACCCTCTCTAAATACTGCAGTTACTTCCCTTACATCTGATGAACACAGGCACCTACCTCTGATCTCAGTGCTGTGGGCTGCTGAGGGTTAATGATGACACAGCCTCCTGGGCTACTGCGTTACCTGACTGCAAACACCAAAACTGATTTATGGTATTATTTTCTTTGGGGGTTAATTAGGGGCTCAAGAAAGTAAAGGGCTGTCAGTGCTAGCTGGAATTGGTCTAGTGCAGCCAGGGGAGAGCAGTCGTCTCTCATAGAGCTCTGCTAATATATCTTTGTCCTGAACATCAATACCTCCAGCTCACACACCTCTGTGTGGCAGACAGCCCTCCATCCTGAATTCCAGCAACCCTGTTAGTCTTGGCATAACCTTTGGGGTACGCTGCTCTGTGAAGTCCTGCCATTTCCACCTGGCAGCTTTCACACTCTTAATCCTCTGTTATCTTCTCCTTTCCTAAGCTTGCCAATAATGCCCATCAATAGACAGGGAAAATTCACATGGCATTCTCCCTGGGACAAGGAGGAGATATCTTCCCTTGGTATCTCTTGCAACTGAGAATCACCAGGGACCATCTTGTTCCTGTTTTCCTTCCTCTAGATGCCCATGTCTTGCTGAGGCCCAAGAAGCCAACACAGGCTATGGCTGCCCCCTACCTCTTTGCCCAGATCTTCACGGATAACTTGCTCAATCTCCTGCCTGGTGCTCTGCGGGGCCTGGCTGTGCAGCACTTTGAGGGTGCGGGTGTACTCCTCAGGCAGCAGGTAGTCAAGTGCTCCCAGGTGCTGACCCACCTTGATGAAGGTGCCTCGGTTGGCGCAGCACAGCTCTCGGAGGCGCTCAGCAGAGCGCAGGTGCACCTGTGGGACAGACCAGACATCAGCCAAGCCCTTTTGCTATTACATGCACGTGCCCACATATGCACCTTTTATTTGTCCAGTACTTAAACAGACCAGGGACTTCCTTTCTTGAATTTGTGCATCATCATCTAATGTGTCAGCTAAGTATCAGGACTCTCACCTGATTTAGAGGGGCTGAACCAGACCAGGGCAAGATTCTCCAAGAGTATAAGGGGCTTTGACATTTGTTTGCATAGGCACCATGATCAGTGGCAGCACATTAGTTTTTGGCTCTGTCCAGGGCTACATCCTTGCAGAGAGTAAGATGTCTAGCTATAGGGCAGCATTGGTTTGTCAATGTGATCCACCCCTACAACACACAGTTTGGGAACCCCCTGTCAAAAGACAAGTCAGGATCACAAACATCTATGTTAGATTCTTACTGTGAGTGTGATGAATTAAAGTGAGAAGAAAATGACAGATATGATCCCAGAAACTTCCAGGAATTTGGAAGAAGATTCTGTTAAAAATCAAAACTACAGATGTCTATCTTGCAGTGAGGAGGACAATATCTGGGCAGTCCTTCATCCTCCTCAGCTTGCTCTGACACACCACAAGGAGAAACAGTATCCCTCCAGTCCAGCCAGGTCTTGGTCTTACTGCTTACATTGCCAACAAAGTCTGCAGTGACAGTGGTTTTATAAACTAAGAATTAGAAGGCTTGAGAGCTTTGCTTATATTGGCCAAAATGCAGCCATCAAATGACAAAACCAATCACCAACCCCTTGCCTCATCTGGATTTCAGCTCCTGAAGTTCATTCTGCCTCTCAAGAACAGACCAGTCAGTGACAATGATTTATTCTACCTTTATTACTCTCACTAGAAAAGCCTCCTGCCAAGGACACAGCTATATTCAATATCTTTAATAAACTTCAGATAAATTTACCCTGATACATTAATAAAATCTAAACAAATCAATGACAAAAAATAACTCTGCACCATCTCCTGTTAATGTCTGGCACCTATCTGTATGAAGGCTCCTAATTCCTCTGGCTTCTGTGTCAGAAGACATTAAAGGTCAAAAATCCTGTGTCTGTAGACTTCATCTGCCCAAGATCCTGTGGTGAGGGACTCTAACAAAGGCCTTGAAATACATGTCAGAAAGGAACACCACCACAAACATACATGAACATCACACACACACATTTGGTGGCTAACTTTGCTCTCTGTGCAAAGCAGTGCCATGTCACATCACAGGACTGGGCGAGTATCTCGCATTTGGAAACACGTCAGGGGACAGACTGAGTGCTGACCTTCAAGTGCAAGAAATACAGCCCTAAGGGACTGTGAGAAGAAAGCCTAATGTGTGAGTCTCACACTCAGTGTGTGAGACTTGACAGCTTGATGCACACATGCACACACACACTTTGCTAGATGAGTGTGCAGGGGCAAGGAGAACTCACGCTAGGTGAGTATGAGCCTTGCCCAGCATATTGCCTGCTCAAAAGCACTCGCAAATACATAGGCAGAAAATAACATCCATGAGCATGCCTGAAGTCTCTCACATTACTGTGCTGCATTTTACACACCAGCTTTAAAGCTCCTGCTGTAACATGCAAGCCTCTGCCCTGGCTGCTTCCCTGCTCTCCTCTCTTGTGTGTGGCAGGGGCAAAAGCAGACCATAAGGTGACAAGGTAAGGAAGCTGGGAAAGAGGATGAGGGAGCAAGAGAAGCAGGGAGGGAGCAATGGGATGAAAGAGGAAGGCAGTGGGATGGAGGGAGCCAGCTGGGTAGTTTGTTACAGCACCGAGAGTGCAACCCATTACAGGGCAACAGCTTTTACACAGCTCCAATAATCATCCTCTGTCCACTGCATCCAGCCATGCAGGAAACCCCCCGCCAGCAGCGAAAGGGACTGGTAGCCAGCCACAGCCCAAGCACTGGCGAGAAACAGTGGCAAGGGTCCTTGCAGATGCGCTCCAAAAACCCCAGCACTGAGCACGAGCCAGCACAAGGCCCTGTGATCTCCCACAGGCACACCAGAAACCCATCTAATGACTCCAGGCTGCGGCAGGGTTCAGGGCAGAGCAACAGCAACCCTGGGGCTGTAGCACAGTGCTGGGCATGAGGCCAGGCAGCCAGCTCAGGATACAGGTGCTGGCTCCAATGCACCTACCCACCCCACATGGGTCACCACGGAAGATGGAAAAACCAGAATGGAAAACTCATGTAGCTGAAAATGCAATTGGCTGTAGACACACTTGGATGCAGGGTGTATCTTCATGTTGATCACTGCTGAGAAGGAGGCAGAAATAGACTCTCTCTCCTCTAGCACAAAGAGAGAGGAAATTTTGGCCCTCCCAAACTTATCCACCCTGTAGAGAACCCAGTTGGCCTCATGGACACAGCAGTCCTGGCCAAGAGAGACAAAAGCATCCTTACAGAGGGCTCCAGGAACAAAACAGAACAAACCCCCCATGCACAGCATCATCCACCATGTTCTCACAACTGGCTTGGCTAAAACTCCTTAGAGACAGCTGCCCCAGCTGGCTGTTTGGACCAGGGAATGCCAGCTCCTGCCCCTCCTAAAAAGACAGAAGATGACCAGGCAACTTGCCTTAGAAGAAAGAAATCTATCTGTAGCCCTACATTTTATAAAACTCCAGTCCACATTAGAGGCAGAAGTACAGTGAGAATGAAGTAGAACTGTGAACACAGCTTCCAAGGTCTGTTTTCTTATCAACCAGGTCAGATTTTTTAGCAGAAAGAAGTTCACAACACTATCTACTAATTGCCTGGATCTCCCCAAGCTAGGTCACAGTCCAGACACAGCACTTGTTTCTCTGATAGATGACCTTCTCCTAATCATAGGCAAAGTAAGAGCGCCACATTCCCACTGCTGTGTCCGATACCATTGACCCACATTTCTGTCCTAGCTTGAAAAAACTGCAGGGTAAATGGAAACCCCTAGAATAGCGCTGAGCTTTTCTCTGAGAAATCTCACAGGATACTGCTCTTTGTTGCACAAGCAATACCTTGAAGACTCTTCTTATCAGGGAAAAGATCTGGGAACAACAGCTAGTCAGACACAGACCCCTTGTATGCAACAGGCCCAGGAGCATTCTGCAGAGAAAGGAAGCATTTCACATACCAAGGATTACCAAGAATAAGCCTCCCTCAGGAAGCACTTCAGATCACAAATGCTATCTGAGTGTGTATATGGTTCTTTCCTCAGTCCCTATGGGCAGCTCTTTCTGTCTCAAACCTCCTTTCTGAATTTCGGCAGGACAAATTCTCCATTGGTCCACAGCATGGCTGTCAGACTCATGTGGTTTACCTAAACCCTGGGTAGATTAAGTTTAACAGTGATTACTGAAATAGTTCCAAATGGGCCAAAGCAAAAGTAACAACTGTCAAGTATGGAGAGGAGGCACCTCTGAGATGAAGCACATACTCAGCAAGCAGAGCTGCAAAGGGACATTTTTTAATTTACCCTTGATGTACAAGCAGACCTGGCTTCTCAAGTCATTTTGATGCTTTTGAAGGAGCCTTTACTCACAGAGACCTTGGCAAAGAACTGCTCTTCAGAGCATCAGATGTGCAAATGTCACAAATTGGCAGATGCTAAACTGGTCTTAAAAATAAATAAATTAATTTAGAAGAAAATAAATACCAAAGCTAAAATATACTGGTGAAAACTTGAGCATCTGTTAACAGACCTGGTGACAAAAGGGCTCAGAAAGGCCACTAAAGACAGTAAGTGGTGGAAGCCACTCCTCAAAGGAAAAGTCTTTCAGAAAAGTCATTCCAACCCTGAAGGGCGTACTCATAGCTGGCAAAACATGAAATGAGGATTAGGAATACAGAAAGAAAATCTGAAATGCAATTATTCAAAAACATAACAAACAAGTTATGAAAATCCTGCTAGTGCTGCCTCCAGGAACACTACAAACGCAGACATCTCACAAAGGACATCAGGCTGGATTTTGCCCACAGGTCAGAGCTAAAAGGGCTGCTCCTCCTCTCCCCTCCATACCAGACAGCACTCTTGTACAGGTGAGCAGGAACAACTCCATGCCATATGGTGCCGCTCACCTACTCCCAACCTGAGCAAGGGAAAGGAGGCGCCTTCTCCTGCTGCAGGCAACTTCCTGCACCGGGCAGGACACTGAGGAGAAACCTGCCCACCGCTGCTTACAATGGAGATACACTCTCCAAGACAGTATTTCAAGAAAGATGACTCCAGAAAATACCTTGAAAACTTCAACCGTATAAAAATTACGGATTAATTCCAAAAGTAGCTGAGATGCCAATAATCATAATAAAAAGGGGATCACAGATTAAAACCATTAGCTTCCAGAGGACTGAAGGGGAACAAATGTTGCCCTCTTTTTAAGAAAAATCCAAATAATCTTGGAAACTATAGTCCTGAAAATTTTTATTCTAAATTAGTTGAGACAATAATTATAGAGAGTACTAAAAATCATCTAGCTAAATGTGATACGACTGAAAAAAAGTCAACAGTGAATTTTGAGAGGGAAAAAAATCATTCTTCACTAGTCCACTAAAATACTCTGAGCATGTTAATGCAATGTTCAATAGAAGAGAAAAGGAAGATATTTACTGGGACTTTCAATAGATTTCATCATAAAGACTGAAAAAAAACCTGAGAAGATGCAAGAACATCACTTGCTCATTTTATCCCATTCCCAGAATTCCCTCTCTGCAACACCAAGCCCAACACTAAAGCCAGCAGCAGTGGGTTCAGACAAGGCTGCAACATTTAGTGATGTTTCTCCCACAGCTTCATTTCAACCTGCTCTTGAGGTGATACTGCAGAAGCCCTGTCTACATTAGCACCTGCAATGCTGTTACTTCCAGTAAGGCTGAACCAGCACTAGAAACACTGAGAAACGTGATGAAAAGGCAAACAGGTCCAAGTAGTGCTCACAAGGCAGAAGGGGCTCTCTACTATGAATGGGTTGACCCACACTACTCTCAAAAAAAAATTACCCAGTAGA